TTCCAAAATATTTCTTTAAATTCAACACCTGTTGAAGAAGAAGATCTAAAGAAAATGAAAAGAGATGAAGTTCGTAGAAAAGTTGCAATGATTGGAAGTGAATTGAGAAAATACATTCTCAAATCCAAAGAAATCCAAACTATGAGAAAACAAGAAATGATTGACTTTATTATGAAGTTTAGAGACATTACTTTCGCTGAGTGTGAAATTTGAATTTTTCTTGAAAAAAATTTTTCTATATAAAAAGGAAGTCCTACATCCTTCTAAGATTTGAAAAAGTAATTATTTTTGAGAAAAATCATCTGACAATGTCGAGAGATGAACTTCTCCGTATAGTTAGAAAAATTAATAAAAAGAAAAGATTACTAATGACTGATGCTCAAATGAAAAAGATGAAGGTGGATGAAATGAAGCAATTTATTAATGTTCATTCTCAAGAAAATCAAGAAAATCCATTACCACCTCCAGATGAGATTTTTCCTATGGATGATTTGATTTTTATGGAACAAGAAGATAGAGAAAATGCTAACTCAAGAGTAACAAATTATAGAAGCAAGAACAACAAAGATTTTCTAGAAAATCCTTTTGAATTGATCGAAGAGAAAGGTATTGAATTTTACATGGATCTTGTAAAAAAAAGATTGGCTTCTTTTCTCAAGAAGAAGCAAAATACTGTAGTCAACGACATTTACAAAAAAACCAATGTTAAAATAATGCTTTATTTAGAATGTGAAACAAAGAAGCCTGATTCTACTGATGCAGCAAAGTTTCATGTCAACACTACAAGTCAAATTTTACATTCTGGTGAAAGTAGGGAAGAATTCTATCAAGCAGCATGTAGCACATTAATGAATGACGTGGAGAATAGAGAACATCATGCTTCAGGATTAGTGATAACTAGGTTTTTGAGATTGACTATGTTTCAAACTAGAACTGATGCAATGAGAGGAGCTTCTTACATACCGAATCCTCAGTTTGTTATTAGTAAAAGGTCAGTTTTAAATATCCAGAACAAAGACAACATGTGTTTCAAGTGGTGTATTCTAGCCCATTTACACCCTGCTACTAGAGATAAAGAAAGAGTTACTAAATACACGCCTTTTAAGGATGAATTGAATTTTGATGGACTTGAATTTCCTTTCAAATTTGAAGATATTGAAAAATTTGAGGGTATGAATAATTTAAGTGTTCATGTTTTTGCATATGAATATTCTATTTCAAATTATGCTGAAAGGAGAAATAATTACCAACCTACACCCGATGATTATGAACATAGAATATATAAAATTCGTCATTCAACTTATAAATGTGAAAAAGAAAGAACTGTTAACCTCTTTTATAATGAAGATTCAGAAGGTAATGGACATTTTAGTCTTATCACAAATTTAAGTAGACTTCTAAGTAGAAGTAATGGGGATAACATGAAATATTATTGTTGTAGATGTTTATCATATTACTATAACCAAGAAAAGTTAGATAGACACTTTGAGAATTGTGAAAATACACCACCAATTGAGCATAGATTATCTCGTAAAAACATTGTTGAATTCGTTAATCATCAGAATACTCAAAAGCATCGTTATGTTATCTATTCAGATTTCGAAAGTTTGATAGAAAAAATTCATAATCCAAGGGAGCTTACTGGTGAAAAAAAGGAAAAAGATAAATGGACTAAGAATATTGGAAAACATGTTCCATCTGCATATTGCATTTTAGTAGTTGATTCGTATACTAAGACTATATACGACATCGAGTCTTATGTTGGTTATAATGCTGCATTAAAGTTTAATACATCAATTATTGAAATTGTTCGAAATCTTATGAGCATTGAAGATATTGCTTGTAGAGATTTGTCTTCAATAGAAAAGGAAGAATTCTATGCATGCAGAAGTTGTCCTATGTGTGATGTTGTTTTTGACTCTTCAAATATGAAAACAACTAAAGTGAAAGATCATGATCATTGGACTGGAGAATATCGTGGTCCATTATGTGGAGAATGTAACTTGAAGAAAAAGAAAAATAAGTTCATCCCAGTATTCTTTCACAACCTAAAAGGCTATGATTCACATCTCATTCTCGGAGATCCTATGAGTATTAAGTTTCTGAGAAAAAATGATGTAGGTGTGTCAAATATTTCTGCTAACTCAGAGAAATTCATCAGTTTTAGTTATCATTTACCTTCTTTGACAGAAAATATTTGGGAAACATGTGAAGTAAGATTTCTAGATTCGATGTGTTTCATGTTATCTTCATTGGATAAACTTGCAGAAAATTTAGATGATAATCAAATGAATACATCAAATAATTATTACTCCACTCAAGGTAATGATGTCTTCGAAACTATGAGGAAAAAGGGTGTTTATCCATATGAATATATTAACTCATTCGAGAGATACAAAGAAACTGAACTCCCAAGTATTTCTTCGTTTTATGATAGCCTCAATGAAAAAGAATGTACAACTAAGGAATACTTGTATGCAAAGTTAGTTTGGAAAAAAATGGGATGCTCTAGTTTAGAAGATTATACTAGAATATATATGATTAATGATGTGCTCCTTTTGGCAGATGTTTTTGAGAACTTTAGGGATGTTACTCGATATGTCTATGAATTAGATCCTTGCTGGTATTATACAAGTCCAGGATTATCTTGGGATGCTATGCTAAAATACACTAAAGTTAAACTGGACACTATTAACGATACTGAGAAGTTTTTCATGATTGAAAATGGTATTAGAGGTGGAATTGTGAATGCTGTTAAAAGGTATACGAAAGCTAATAATAAATATATGAAGAATTTTAATCCTAAACTATGTTCAAACTTCCTTTTGTATTTAGATGCAAACAATTTATATGGTTGGGCAATGAAATTGAAATTACCTCAAAGCAACTTTGTTTTCGAAAGTCAAAAACAACTTAGTATTTTAAATATTTCCATGAATGAAGTAAGCAAAGTAATGATTCAGAAATACATTGAAAACCTGCATAGACAAGGAAAAGGTTGTATATTAGAAGTAGACTTCGAGTATCCTACAGAAATTCACAAGATGCATAATGAATTCCCTCTATGCCCTGAAATCAGAGACTTTGGTAATGGAATCAAAAAGTTGTGTAATACTTTAGAAGGTAAAACAAATTATGTTATTCATTATCAAAATTTGCTACAAGCTTTAGATCTTGGAATGAAATTGAAAAAAATTAAGAGAATTCTTAAATTTGATGAATCTAATTGGCTTGCGAGCTATATTGATTTGAATACTAACCTTAGGAAAAAAGCTAAAAATGATTTTGAAAAAGACTTCTTTAAGTTGATGAATAATAGTGTTTTTGGGAAAACTATGGAGAATGTTCGTAATAGAGTAGATGTAAAGTTGGTGTATTCTGGTGAGTATGAATGTATGGAAAATGGTAAAATGCATTACATTTCAAAGAAAGATAGAATAACTAGGTTAGCTAAGAAACCTAACTTTAATAGGAATATAATAATAAACAAAGAATTGAGTTTTGTTGAAATGGCTCAAACTAAAATAGTACTAGATAAGCCTATTTATGTTGGCTTTGCTATCCTGGAGTTGAGTAAGTGGCTGATGTACGATTTTCATTACAATGTTATGAAGAAAAAATATGGAGATAACATTAAATTATGCTATCAGGATACTGATTCCCTTATTTATGAAATTTTTACATCTGACTTTTATGAAGACCTATTAGAAGATTCTTCATTAAAAAAATATTTCGATTTCAGTGAATATCCTAAAGTTCATCCATTGTATAATGAAGAAAATAAAAAAGTTGTTGGCAAATTCAAAGATGAATTAAATGGATTAATAATGCAAGAACTTTTAGCCTTGAAACCCAAACAATATGCATATAAAATTGCTGAGGAAAGACGTCAAGAGTTTGTAGATTATTACAATAAACGAATTAAAGATGAAATAAAGAATCCTAAACTTCCGAAAGTTCCAAAGCCTGGTGATGAGGTTAAAAAGAGTAAAGGAATAAAGAAAAATGTTGTCAAGAAGTTAAAAGTTGAAGATTTTCGAGAAAGTCTTTTCAATAAGAGTATTGTTAGAAAGAAACAATGTTGTATTCGAAGTATCAAACAACAATTATACACTCAAGAACAGGAAAAAGTTGTATTTGATAATGAATTGACTCAAGCGAAAATGCTACAATTCAAAAGAGTTATTATTCCAGATTCTTTTGAGACTCTGGCATATGGTTATAAAAATTGAGATAAAACACTACTTTGAAAATCATATTTTTCTAATAATTTTAAAAGTAGTAAACAATAATAACCACAATGATGTGTTCCAAAATCTTGAACTTTGAATGTTGAAAGCTCTATTTTATCTTTTTTATTTCTACTCTTGAGATATTCTTGAAGTTGTAAAGGAGGATCTAATCCGAAAGAATCAAAATAAAATATTTTATCTTTCATTTTGGAATAACAAACCCAATGAGTACCTTTACCACTAGAAGAATCTAAATTAATTATACCTACTTCTTTATTTTTAATCTTTGTAGGTAAAGTATCTCTCATAAAGATTCCTCTGAAGTTTCTTATCTTTAATAATTTTACAAGTTCTTCAAGATCATAATTTGTCAGAGGTTTCAAATTTTTTGAAAAGATCATTTATTTAGCATTATTTTTATTCACCGTTCTAGCGCAATATTTCGACCATCTCGACCACTGGATTTCGACCACATTTTCAAGGTAGCGCATTTCGACCTTTTTACCATTTTTGAAAATTGTTGAAAATGACACATTTTTGAAGAGCTAAGACTTGTTTATGTTAAAAATAAGCCTTAAAATGGCTTAAAAATGAGAAAATTGAGAGTGGTCGAAAAGGTGCGGTAGAACGGCAAAATACATATTATTTATGCTTGGCGTGGTCACAAAAAATCAATAAATTTAGGGTTAAAAATTCCCCAATTAAGGATGCTAGTGCTTTAATAAGGGAAATTTCGATGGTTTTAGGGTTTTCAGACCCGCTGAAAACTTATAGCCAAGTTTCAGCTCGATCGGAGAACATACGGCTGAGATATGCTTGGCGTGGTCACAAAAAATCAATAAATTTATTGTTAAAATTCTCCAATTAAGGATGCTAGTGCAACAAATCTAGAAACGTTTCTTCCCTAGAATTAGTAGACGCATTAAATACAAACAATTTTCGTGGAGTTTAGATTCTTCAGAAGGTTAAAATGAAATGTTAATTTTTTATCCTCTGTGCATAGATGGACGTTTTTTTTTTGCTGGGGTGGTGTTGTGTTTTTTGTTTTTTTTTTGTTTGTTGTGGGGTTGGGGGGTGCCCTGACGTTGAACAACCTCTTGATCAAATCCAGCATGATTTCCGCTTTCAAAGGAAGCTTTGTATTATGCGATGAGTTGAAGTTGGCGACTAAATATTTGTTTTAAGCTTGCATATAACAGTTATCTTCTACCTTCCAAAGTTGCGATGTAGACAGCAATAGCAGACGTATGACAATTAGGAACAATATGGACAGGCGGTCCAACACCAATGTGAAACAATAGCCGGTAGACGAAGATCTCCCTCAAATCCACATTTTGACGCGATGACATTCCAGAATGGCCTTTCACGAAATATCTTTGAGCGGTCTGACCACAGTCCACCGTGCAAACAAATCCGGCCTAGGAAAAATACGAGTATGTTCATATTATAAATCTAACATACCTGAATACCTTTCACCGGCTTTTCCGAGTAGCGAAATGTCAACGTTGGATTAGCTGGATTCTTCTCGAGTAGGGCAGTGAAATAACGTTCTATTGCCCGTTTGATGGATTCGTCATAATCGTCCAGAATTCGGGAGAATTCCCGATTAAACTTGATCCGACGAATTGCAAAATCCGCGTACGTCGCAAAAAATCCATCCTTGTATAACCGTAGCAAGATGTTCGATGCTTCGTTCACTTGTTTTTTCTTGGTTTCATGTGGAATATGGGGTGGAATATTTGAAGCGATCAGGAAGACATTCCACTGAGGCAATGAAGAATGACTCTGAAACAAGTCACTAATAAAATTCAATTTACAAAACTAGATATATGCAATTAGAGCATGTTTACTCCTTATCTATGGTTGTAATTGATGAGAAACATAACTAATAATATAAAAATAGAATAACTAGAATCTTCGGTGTTTCTAAAATGCACTATTAGTCATAGGCTTATATTTACTTATGTGCAATAACAATTTTAAATAAAACTATGATAATAAAAAGTATGAACAGTAAATTCATAAAGATAAAAAATTCAACTTACCACAACGAGTTCCTCGCCAAACTTTATGTCTTGAAGAGGACGCTCAACATCGGGTAGCTCATCACCACGGAATTTGATTTGTTGAAATTCGGGTGGAATATTCGTCACACTTTCGATCTTCTTCACCAGGTCATCGACATGAATCTGAAATTATCATAAAATCAGTTATTATTAACCATAAAAGTAAAAACCTGTGGATCCAACTCAATCCTCTTGAATACTTTATCATTATCTTCGCCGACCAAACGTATTGTAATCTTGACCATTTCTAAAACCAAAGAATTATTGTAATAAGTAAAGCAATGATAATCACGGATGGGAAGTCCACGAAATTAACGCAAACTACAGAAGAAAAGGAAGTCTCTTTTCTATTCATAAAAGTTAATGGAAGAATGCAATGCTGGCTGTCTCTCGCTTTCCTCTGCGTCTCTGGTCACGCGTCTCTGCCTTCCACTCTAGCCCAACGCGTTTGCGTGTTGCGTCGCGTGTGTCTAGTTCAACTGGGGCAAATGTGTGATTGAGCTCGGTCACAGTGAGGAAGAGAAAAGAAGGTCACACAAAGAGAAAGGGAACACTGCTGACCTTTATACGTCACACCAAAGGATCTGAAAGACATTCAGTGAAAGCAAGCTTCCTTGAAGTGCCTATTGAAGGAAAGAACTAATTGTAAATGAGAAAGAGAGAACTCAACGAATTTGGTCACACCCTAACCTTCTCGAAGGTGCTGGCAAAACAAGTATGAAAGGACAAAGTGTCTCATTTAAAAACGATTTGTGTCGCAGAATTTCTTCTATTTTTGTGTTGTTATTGCATTTTGAAGATGTTTTTTTAAAAAGTTCAATATTTTCTTATAAGATGGAGGATGCTTTTCGTGTCATGAAATCTCTACTTCTCCATAGAAAGTGTAAAAGTGAACAGAAAGAGCTGGTAAGTCTTTTTTTTGTATGATAATCTAGATTATTCTTTATTTGCAGGTTTTACTACAGCATCAATTTAACGAAATTAGTGAATCTCTTCGAACAGTGAGAGATGTGTTCAATAACAAGAGGTTTTATTATGTTTAACGAGAAGAAAGATTCAACGAACTACTAAAGGTGAGTAATGAACGTCTTCAGAATAACAACAAAGAATTTAAATGAATAAGATATATTTCAGCAGGAAATGTTGAATGAGCAATCGAAATTCTGAGAAAACAGTCTATGTAACGACTTGAAGAATCTTTTCCGGATGGGGAGAAAGTGAATAATCATTTGATTGTTGTTGTTAATTCTTTGTTATTTCATGTTTGTTGTTATTTCATCTTCTTGTTTTATTTTGAAAAAAAAACAAATATCTTGTTTGATTGAAGCCAAGTGAAAAAGTTAATACCTCGGAAGAGGTAGCCATGTTTGGGGTTCATGGCTAGGTGGAAGTGAATTCACTTTCTAGTGAAGACATCCATTTTCACTGAACGTCCCCCATTTCACAAAATCAAATAAGATATTTGTAGCCAAAAAATTTTAACTTCTAAATTATGGAATTAGTATACTGTTTCAAATGTAAAAAATATACTGATACTACTGACATATTTAATGTTGAAACAAGCTCGAAACGTTCTATGATAAAAGGGTTATGCCAAGATTGTAAAACAATGAAGTGTAAGCTAATTCCAACAATCACAGGAGGTTCTGGATTAGAAGATATCAAGGAGGTTGAAATTAGTGAAAAATCTAAAATTCTTAGACAACCCACAAGTTCCGAAGGTGAAAGAGATCTTTTAGAAAAAACTTATTATTCTCCCAAAACAGGATTTTGTGGTATCAATGAACTCTCAAGAGTAACAAAGGTTTCACCGAAGAAAGTTCAAGAATTCTTGAATCAGCAAGATGTCTACACTCTTCACAAACCAGCTAGGAAGAACTTCAAGAGTCAAAGAGTTTTTGTGAGTGGCATAGACGATCAATGGCAATCAGATCTCGTAGAAATGATTCCTTATGCCTCGGAGAACAAAGAATATAAATACCTCTTAACTATCATTGATTGCTTCAGTAAGTTTGCATGGGTTGTTCCTCTTAAGAGTAAAACAGGTAAAGAAACCGCAGATGCTTTAAATGAAGTATTCACAAAAAGTAAAAGAAAGCCAAAAAAGATGCAGACTGATAATGGTAAGGAGTATTATAATAAAGAAATGAACAAATTATTCAAATCATTAGAAATCAATCATTTCTCAACTTATTCAGATAAGAAAGCATCAATAGTTGAAAGATTTAATAGAACTTTGAAAGAAAAGATGTGGAAAATGTTTACGTTGAAAGGAAATCACGAGTGGCTAGATATTCTTGATGATCTTGTAGAAGGTTATAATAATCATTATCACTCTAGTATAAAAATGACTCCCACACAGGCTTCAAAAATAGAAAATGAAAGCATAGTTTACTCAAATCTCTTTCCTCAAGATAACAAAGAAAAACAAAATGAGTTAGAAAATGATGATAAAGTGAAATTGATGAGCAAAGCGAACAAAGCGAAATTCAAATTAGGAGACACTGTTAGAATTACTAAATATAAAGCTATCTTTGATAAAGGATATCTACCAAATTGGAGCACTGAACAATTCAAGATTGCTAAAGTTCTAATCGGTGATCCAACAATGTACGAACTAAAAGATCTTGCAGATGAAGAAATTAAAGGAAAGTTTTACTCTGACGAACATACACTATATGATAATATAAGTGGAGAATATAAAATTGAAAAAATCTTGAAGAAAAGAACTAGAAAAATAAATGGAAAACCAATTAAAGAAGTATTTGTCAAGTGGTATGGATATCCAGATAAATTTAATTCTTGGGTTCCTGAGGAAGATTTAAAATCTTAAATACCATTGAATCTAAATACTTAAAACCTTAACTCTATTATCCTTGACTTCTACAATATTTTCACTCAAAATTAGGCAATAACATTTAGTACTTTGAGCGATGTTTTTCGCGAAGCTGGCTTTTATTGTAACATCTGGTCTACTCGAGATAATTCTATCATTCTGTTTAGATACATCAAATACTAGAAGTGGATAATAGTAATAATACACATCTTCTTCCATGAAAATGTAATCTTTTACACTTTCATAATAACTATTTCTGAATTCTTTAGCAAAATTGTATTGTTGAACTGCATTAAATTTATCGAAGTCGAATTTTAAGCATTCATATGGATACCTCTCACTATTCAACTCCACATAAATTTCTTCAAGTCCACAATTATCAAATTTTGCAGCATTTAGATAGTTATTGTCTCTAGCAGTCTGAAATGCTATGACTATGTACTTTATTTTATCATATTTTGTTCCTAGTTTCCAAGTGAATTCGCGGTTGCCATTTGGAATATTATAACTATCAAATTGTCTGGAAATAAAAGGCATTTGAACTAGTTTATTACTTTCAAAGACATTCAAAAGTTTGTTTTGCATCTCTAAGGATGGCATAATTTTAGGAATTATCCATTGCATCTTGTTTATCACTATCTTAGCTGTAAATTTAGTAGGATCACTGGAAGTAATAGAATTCTTGTTTTCTGGAGATCTGTAGAGCGATAGCTGGTGTTTTCTTCCATAAATAATGCGAGTGTAACACTCCGAGAATCCAAAAATATGAGTCAGTGGAATACAAAAGGTTAGTAAGCCTTTTCTATTTTTAGTGTATTTATTTATTTTATAATTTATGATATCCTTAGTCTCGAGGATCCAACCAAAAGTATTTTGTTTATTCATTGTTGAAGAATAAGTAAGAAGGCCTTTCATAAGCGAAGCTCTTCCAGGATCAATGACATTTTCAACTTGCATACCATCCATACTATAAGTTGCTCTATCAAATAAAAACATTGGAGCATTGTTTGTTAATGATACTTCATCTCCATCAGCAAGTGCAGTAGAGTCTAATTTAGTCAAGGAAGCTTCTAAATAAATGTAAGATTTATGTAGTAGAAGGTATTGATCACAAGTTTCTATGATAAAATTAATTTCTCCATGTTGATTTAAACTACTACCACTAGAAGGAAATATGCTAATCAAATTTTCTTTTTGAATTGAAGTATCCTGAACAATTGGACTATCAACAATCAAAATTCTATCAACAGCTTCTAATATTTTTGATTCTGGCATTTTTATCTTGAATGAATTTTCAATTTATTTAAAATATTTTTTCTAAATTAAATTAAATGAATCTCTCTCGAGTATTGCAATTCTATTTCTTTTTAACATTTACTCATTATGATATTTTGACAAGTGCTAAAAGTATTATATGTTCTTCTGATGCTCCAGTTCAATATTTTAGATTACCGAAATTACATAGATGCAATTACCATAGACAATTGAATGAAAAATCAAAAGTAGTAAGTTATGAAGTCTATAAGCCTAACATTATTGAATATTCAAGTGAAGCTAAATTGTGTAAGAAATTAGTTAGTGAAGTTTCAATGTATACAGATTTCTCAGGATATGAGCACTTAGTAGAAAAGGAATTGAATCATAGAAGTATAAGTCTTGCAGAATGTAGAGAATGGATTGCAAATAAGAAATGTGAATATGGAAGTTTGATGAAAGCAGCAAGTAATGGGGTGTATAGTACAAATAATAAAGTTGAAGTAGATTATCCAAATCGATTTACTAGTTTTTTCTCTCCAAAAAGATATTACAAAGAGAATTGTGTAATTATTGAAACTAAAGTATATTCACACTTCAATCAAAGTAGACCATCTAATATTCTCTCCGACTTAAGTAATTGTAAATATCAGGACGGTTCTTGTCCAATAAAGAAGAATGAAATTATGATTTGGGATGCTAATAAAGATCAAAATTGTCAATACATTTCAATTGGAAAACTAGATGGAATAATGAGTAATGGACTGTGGATAAATAGTAAAAATCAAATTGCTCTGAGTCTTGGAGAAAACAAAATTGTGAGAGATTGTAATGTTGATCTCTTAATTAGTGATGAAGGTTTTGCAGTCAAAGAAATTCAAAAACTTCCTTCAGAATCGAAGATTCCTAGATCCATAGGATTGACACAACAAGCACTAACATCAGAATCGAAGATTCCTAGATCCACAGGATTGACATCAACTCCTAGTCTTCAAGAAATGAGTATTAATCCTCTGAAATATGCAGAGTCTTCGACTCCTAGATCCGAAGGATTGTATCAAAAAGAAAGAGAAGAATATTATAAAAAACAACAAGAACAAATCCAGAGGGATCGAGAACTTCGTGAGCAACAAATCCAAAAGGATCGAAATAGAA